AAAACCATGTCCATACAAATGATATAAATATTAGAATTACAACCGCTAATTTTTTTTTATTTTTAAATCACCATACTTTTATTTAAAATGTATTCTTTTCTCTCGCTTCGTCCGCCATTACTAGCATAAAAAAAAAATCTCCGGTCGGGCCGCAATGCATTATGGGATATGCTGGGCCGGGAAGAATCCATCGGACCTGTCCTTCGATTCGGGGAAAAAGAAGGACGTATTTGTCGGACKCATCGGAGGAGTCTTCCGTTTTGGACGTCCTTTGTCGCGGCGCTGTGACGTATGCGGCCGACAAATTCGACCTTCGGAGGACCCGTCCTGCCGTTTTGGACACAGCGTACGTGTTTACTTCCTGTTTGTAGGATGATGTTATGTGCTTACTTCCTGTTTGTAGGATGATGTTACGTGTTTACTTCCTGTTTGTAGGATGACATCACATTTACTTCCTGTTTGTTGCATAGATATGAAGGCTATATAAATCTGTGGTTTGTTGTATCATAGATCTGTGTTTACATTAGTCTCCTTTCACTTCCTTCTAATTAGATACATTTCTGCTACGTTTTAAAGTCTAGAGCAGTTACCTTGCTAAAATATACAGAACATTAGCTAAGTGATAAAATACGCTATTAGCTAAACATTTATTAAAAATCATCCAAAAAATATACTTAAAATATATAAACAGTAACTAAAAACTAAAACAGGAAATTTATATGTAAAAGCTAAAATCATCAAAACCATATCAATCAATCATCAATCAAACTTTATTTATAAAGCGTTATATCAGCCACTGCTGAAACAAAGTGCTGAACACATAAAAATAAAAACTGAATACAAAAACACAATAAAATCACACAGTTAAATAAGTAAAATCAGCTAAAAGCTAATATGGTAGTAGCTAATATGAGCAAAACTACAGCTAAAAGCTAATATGAAAAAAGTCATAGCTAAAAGCTAATAATAGCAAAACAACTGCTTATAGCTAACATGAGTAGAAATGAGCTAAAATCCATTATAAAAAAATGTAACTAAAAGATAATTTAAACACAACATTGGTTAATGGCTAATAGAAGCACAGCCATAGCTAAAAGCTAATATGAGCAAACCAGTTGTTAGTAGCCGGTATGTGCAAACCTACAGCTAAAAGCTAATAAAAGCAAAACCATAACTAAAAGTTGAAATGAACAAAACTTTTGTTAATAGCTAATATGAGCATAATGATAGCTAAAATCTAATATGTTGCTAGTAGCTTATATGATCAAAACTACAGCTAAAATAGTAAATAAGCTAAAAATAGTTGAACCGTAGCTTAAAGTAAAAATGGTCGAGACAGAAGCTAAAAACTAAAAGCAGCTCAGAGTTATCCTGAGACAGATTTTAAACGATTAAAGTTTTATTTCGTTAAATAGGTTAAAGTTAAAAGTCAGAGCACATTATTCCTGATGGAGCTGAATGTTAAAAGACTTAACTGAAGTTTAGTTGACCTCTGACCTCTACTGTTTTGACCTTTGACCTCTGCTGGTTTCATATAAAGTCAGTGTTTTCCTGAATCGTCTTCTGTTTGTCTGAACTCTCACTGATCCTTTCATCGTTCTGTCGTCTCAGCTCCACCTTCATTCTGCATCCGCAGAGTTCATTTCTATGCTGGTAAGAGTGTGTGTGTGTGTGTGTGTGTGTATGTGTGTGTGTGTGTGTGTGTGTGTGGGTGTGTGGGTGTGTGTGTGCGTTTGTTTTTCTATTTTAGCTTCAGATTAATGAGGACATCTGTATATTTTATAATCCTGTGTTTACAGGTTTTACAAAGGAGACGGGTCGCTGGAAAAAACAACTTCAAATTAAAATTTTTAACTTTCATCACAAACTAATAAATAAATAAATTAAAATTAAAATTATATGAATAAATATATGGATTTAGAGCTAGTAATTCAACATCAATGGCTCTCGTGGACTTGATTGAACAAATGAAAGCTGTTGATCAAAGACAACATAGTGTTAGCGTTTTTGTTGATTTAAGGAAAGCTTTTGATATTATTGATCACAGCATTCTTCTTGAGAAACTGTACAAATAGGGTATGAGAGGTCCAGTATTACAGTGGGTATCTAGTTATCTGACAAACAGGAAACAATTTGTTCAAATAAATTATGTAACATCTAAAATTGGTGATATTACATGTGGAGTTCCACAGGGTTCTGTGCTTGGACCAAAGTTGTCTCTCTTATATGTTAATGATCTTGTTTTTAATTTATATGAATAAACTATTAAACTAAACTAAAACTAAACTAAATTCAACGATTCTTAGAAAAACTTTGATTTTCTTTTGTTTATTGTAAACAGTATTAGTTCAACAGTAATTATTTTCTCCCTTTATTATATTTGTGTTTCAGTTGTTGATGTTAGAGTAATATTAGTGAAAGTTTAGACTTGAACATGAGAAAAAACAAGAAAAATATTTTTTGTGTCTGTCGTTAAATAAATGAGTTTATTATAAATTGTTCTCATCACTGCAGCGGTTTGTAAAAGTGTTGCAGGTTTTTGTTTAAGTCTGATTAAATTCATTCTGTCTGAACTGTTGATGGAAGGTTTCAGGTTTTGATTAGAAAAGTTTTTTTATTTTTGCAGAAAGAACTTATTGTTTGTGTTTGTTTGTTGTTGTTTTCAGAGCATGAGAAACATAAACTGTGTAAATCCGCTGACTACATGAACCTGCACTTTAAAGTCAAGTGGCTCTACAACGAGTACGCCAAGGAGCTGCCGCCGTTCACTGAGGTTGTTCCTGAATATCCCTCGTAAGAAATAACTTTTTATATATTTTATCTGCTTCAAACTTGAGCTTCTCTTGGTCTGGTTTTTTTTTCTGCCTGGTTTGCATCTGTCAAACCCTACATTCTGAACCGCTGAGGATTAGATAAAAAAATGAGTTGAATAAATATATTGTTACATTGCAGAATGTCTCAGACCTGATGGTCCCAAAATAAATAAATCCTCCAAGTGGCCACAAAATCATAAATATGCTAAAATAAAATAACATAAAATTTAAGTTTTTTAAATGACGTTTTTTCATTTAAAGTGTTTACATCTAGGCACCATAGGACATGTTCAAAACCAGTAGTGGACACAGTTGCGCTAATCCGCTAATAGCAGAACTAGCATCCTATTTAGCGGATTAGCTTTTTTGCTAACTTTGGAAATTGTTTAGGTTTCACTAAAACAAAAACTTCAATTTTTTATGGTGCTTATCCTAAATTCAATAAAAACTATCCCCTCTTGGGTGTGTCAGGCACCACGTGTTTAGCATGTAGCATCGTTAGCAATAAACTTCAAACTAAGAGAGTCAAAAATACATAAAATTTAACAATATTGAAATAATGAATAAAAAATTGACTTCATATAAAATATGGTAGAGGAAGTATTTGCTATTTGTTGTTTGTCTAACTTCAAATGGTATTTATAGAGATACAAACTCAATCAAAGAAATGCTTTTATTCTGAAAAGTTTAAACTGGAAGTATCACATTTTAAGTGGACCTATAACTCTGGTTTGGATTGGTCAATTTGCCACAGATGATCCCGCCCACCTTCAAATTAAACCAATAGAAATCTAACAAGTTTATGTCTGATAGAGAAAGCTAATGCTAACCGCTAAGACAGTTAGCATTAGCTTCCTTTCTTTTTTCCATCTGGTTAGCAGATTAGCTTTAGCTTAACTAAGATTCTTGTTTATCAGATTAGTGGTTACTGAAGCTAACTTTGTGGTTAGCTGTTTAAAACCAAATGTTCTGGTTTAAAATTTTAAAACAAACTGTTCAACATGTTTCCTTTAAACAAAAACTCTAAAAAAAAGTCCTTGTTTTGTGTTTTGTTGTTGCTTCAGGTGGTTTGTCCAGTTTGTCCTGGCCTGGTTGACTGAGAACGAGGACGTGTCCATGGAGTTCATGCACGCAGCGCTGGACAGAGACAGGAGAGAGGGGGTCAGCAAGACAATAATAAATAATAACAATACACCATACATAATAAAAACACCAAATATTTCATGTGTTGGACCTGATCTGGGGCAGCGAGTGAGGATGTTCTGTTTTTTAAAGATGGCTGCCAGGGCTAATCATTGTTAGCTTCCACAATTATTGAGCTAAAGTATGTCCCTTATTTTAATTTCTTTATGTTTGAATATGTGTCAATCTTCAGAGCTTTATACATATTTATAAATTCATCCATCAAAAACAAAAACATTTTTATTAAATTACTTTTAGAATATAAAATCCAGTTTTGCTTTTTATAAATATGATGGAAAATGTCTGGAAGTCTTTGCTTTGTGACGACAGATTATCTAATTATCTTTACTGAAATCAGCTAAAGAACCTGAAACTTATTTGTTAAAGCTAAAAGAAGCAAAAGACTAGCTGAAAGATTAAATTAATAAAACATTGGCTAAAAGCTAAAAAAAAGTAGAACCCTAGCAAACAGATGAGAGAAACAAAACACTGGCTAAAAAAGCTGAATACTAGCTAAAGATTAAAGAAGTAGACCTCAAGCTAAAAAGTAAAATGAGTAAAACTTCAGCTAAAAGCCAAAAGGAAAAAAAAGCTAGCTAAAAGCTACAAAATCACAAGAGTAGTTAAAAGCTAATACAAGCAGAACACTAGCTAAAAGACAAAAGTACCATAAGGCTACCTAGATGGTTAAAGTAAGAAAACACTAGCTGAAAGCTAAAATAAGAAAAACATTAGCTAAAAGACAGAAGAAACAAAATGCTAGTTAAAAGCTAAAAGAAGCAAAAAAATAGCTAAAAAAATAAAAAAGCAGAACACATGCTAAAGGATGCTGAACACTAGCTAAAAGATGAAAGTATCAAAAGATTACATAGATGCTTAAAGTAGCAGAAAGCTAGCTAAAGGTATCAAAATGCCCCCAGATGCTAAATATATCAATAGTGTAGTTGGAAACTGAAATTAGCAAAAGCTAAAAGCTAAGTGAAAGCAGTAAAATGCTGACTAAAAGATAAGAGAAGCAGAATAGTGGCTAAAAGCTAAAGCTAGAATAGAACAGAAAAATAAAAACTGTTTTATTTAGAAAAGCACAAACGAGCTGAATGTTTTATGCAGAAGAAACTTTAAAGAGACAGAGAGAATGCTGACTCAGCGTTCAAACAACGAGAAGAATGCTGACTCAGCGTTCAAGCAATGAGGAGAATGCTGACTCAGCTTTCAAACAATGAGAAGAATGCTGACTCAGCGTTCAAACAATGAGAAGAACGATGACTCAGCTTTCAAACAATGAGAAGAATGCTGACTCAGCGTTCAAACAATGAGAAGAACGATGACTCAGCTTTCAAACAATGAGAAGAATGCTGGCTCAGCGTTCAAACGAGAAGAATGCAGACTCAGCGTTCAATGAGAAGAATGCTGACTCAGCGGTCAAACACTGAGAAGAATGCTGACTCAGCGTTCAATGAGAAGAATGCTGACTCAGCATTCAAACAACAAGAAGAATGCAGACTCAGTGTTCAAACAACGAGAAGAATGCTGACTCGGCGTTCAAACGAGAAGAATGCTGACTCATTGTTCAGACAACGAGAAGAATGCTGACTCATCGTTCAAACAATGAGAAGAATGCTGACTCATCGTTCAAACAATGAGAAGAATGCTGACTCATCGTTCAGACAACGAGAAGAATGCTGACTCATCGTTCAAACAATGAGAAGAATGCTGACTCATCGTTCAAACAATGAGAAGAATGCTGACTCATCGTTCAGACAACGAGAAGAATGCTGACTCATCGTTCAAACAATGAGAAGAATGCTGACACTCATCGTTCAAACAACGAGAAGAATGCTGACTCGGCGTTCAAACAACGAGAAGAATGCTGACTCAGCATTCAAACAATAAGAAGAATTTAGACATTTATGCTTCAGCACAAGTCAAACTTTTCTTCTCGTCCTTGCAGTTCCAGCAGACGTCTGAGCACGCTCTGTTCTCCAGCTCGGTGGTGGACATCTTCACGCAGCTCAACCAGAGCTTCGAGATCATCAGGAGGCTGGAGTGTCCCGATCCCGCCGTGGTGGCCCAGTACAACCGGCGCTTCGCCAAGGTGAGCCGAAACGCAGCTGCTGACGCTCAGATTGTTTATCTGTGAGGAAAACAAGTTCCTGTTTTTACATTAGGTTCTGCTGACAGCTCAGCATCTCCTTCACAGCACTGTGTTCGTCTTTGTTTACTTTTGTTTTTTGTTGTTTTTTTTACTTCTGTACGTTTTCTGGCACTCAAACTCTTCTGCAATGTTTGTGCTATTTCAACATTTCGTGTACCAAAACTTTCAGCTCCTTCTCCTTCAGCTGTAACTTTTAGCTACTTATACCTTTTTATCTATTAGGCTTTTTCAGACACTTTTTTTTTTTTTGAAAATGAATGGAGCTGTTTTAAATATACTTAAAACATTAAAGTCCTCATAATTTTTACTGCTCTTCTTACCTTTTGTACTAGTTCTGTGTTTTTGTGCTAATTTCAGCTTCTTTTTTGCTAAGTTTAGCTTTTTTCTGTTATTTCAACTATGTTTCTGCTCCTTTTAGCTATTCTTCCGCTAATTTTAACTTTTTTGTGCTTCTTTCTGCTGCTCTCTGCTAATTTCAGCATTTTTCTGTAATTAAGCTTTTTTTCTGCTAATTTTAGCTACATTTATGCTGTATTCAGTTTTTGATGCATTTTGGCTTTTTTTCTGATTTTTCACTTTTGTTTTCCGACTTTCAGCTAAAGTTAGCTCTTCACGTTTTTTTTTCTTAAAGCCGCTTCAGTAGAAAACAACTTAATATTAGTTTCTTCATCATCAGTGACCTTTTTTTAATAAAGAAGTAAGTCTAGAGAAGAAAAAAAGGAGAAATGTAGAGGGAAAGATTGAAAAAGATAATAGAAGATATGTGAGATAAACACCAAGAAAACAGCTGTTCAAATTTAACATGATCAGTTTTAAATCTTTTCAGTTTCTTCAGCAGTTTTCAGTGATTTTTTTCAGAATTAAGCATTCACTCCACATTTTTGCAGGAAAACAGATTCTCTAGTTTTTATTGATTTTACTGCAGGAAGTTGTACAAACAGTGATTTTCTATCGGTGTGGAGGAAGACTTGTTGTTAATTGTGGAAGAAGACTTGTTGTTAATTGTGGAAGAAGACATGTTGTTAATTGTGGAAGAAGACATGTTGTTAATTGTGGAAGAAGACATGTTGTTAATTGTGGAAGAAGAC